GGGCACAGAAAATGAAATATTGAAAAATATTATATCAGACAGCAGTTGGCTCCAGATCAATTAGGACTATGGTTTGAAGCTTGGATTTATTCTGTTTTGTAATGTAAAGCTCACTCTGTGTAGGAAACCATTTAGGGATTGTTTTTGTAGTTTGTGTAGTGGTTTGGAATAGTTTTAAGCAAGACAGAGATGAAGATGTATAAATCAAGATAGGGTTCAGGATATAAAAATTAGAATTGCTAAGACTTGCTGATGAATTAGATGTACTAGGTATAATATGAATAGAAAACTGAGCATTGTGTTTCTCAGACCATAAAAACCAGTGACTCTGAAGAGTTATGTCTGTACACTGATATAGCGGGAGTGGGGAAAGACCTAACAGAGTGATCTAAAAGAATGGAAGATAATGAAATAGCAAACTTACGCATAAAGAGGAATTTATAAATAAGGCTATAGCTTAAAGGGAACAGAGTAAAAGGAGAGTTTAGGTAGGTATGCCTTTTCATATGCAGTCATACTCTTCTACTTGTGAAACAAAATCTCATTAAAGGAATAGTAAAATAATAGCCCTAGAGGAATTACATAGTGACAAAATCTAAAAGCATTCATGCATGGGATGGTCTTACATAAGAATCCTTCTAATATAAAGGTCCCGATTAAAACAAACGTGGAAGGAGGAGTGGCATCCATTTCCATAATAGCTTGCCTCCAGAAACCCTATGAACCTGGAGAGAGGATGAAAGGCACCCAAGCGTCAAGGACTCTCCTTCATAGGGTCGCTATGAGTTGCCTGCGACTCAACGGCACTTAACAACAACAAGAACATCAAGGTAGTCTGTATGCATATGAAAGCCAGTGGACTGGACTATTTCTAAGTAGAAAGATGATTTACTTTTCTTATAAATGCATTTATGGGCTCAATTATGTATAAGGTAACTTCATCAGATGAAAGTCACCATGGAGGAGTACTAGAAATTTGAAGACAGAAGTGTGAAATACCTTGGAGAGTAGGAAGATGAACTTAAAAAGAAGTATAGCATTGTCAGGAACATTTGGTGATTTCGGGGTAAGGAGTTGCGCTGTCAAACTAGAAGCAGGGAGGATGAATCACCAGCTGCTCCTTGGGAGAAAGATGAGCAATCTTCTCCCAGGTGATTTACAGCCTCTGAAAACCTGCTGCAGGGTCAGCTATGAGTCAGATCTAAGTCAACAGCACATAACAGTAACAATATAGGACTGTCTGTCAATATTGAGTACTCAACTGAGATAGGCCACAAACATGAAGTGAGTCAGCTTAACAGAGTTGTGTAATTTTCTTCAGCAACTAACTATATCTCACTCTCAAATGGTAGAAATGTAATCATTTCCTCCATTTTGTAATATTTAATATTAGTTCAGAAAGTACAATACAAAGCAAGAAATTAAAACCCACCCATGTGTAAGAGCAAGTCTGGTATAACTTGACACTATTTTGGACATTGTCCCAGAACTTACCCCATTCTCCCATAGGCCTTGCTGTACTTTGAATCAATTGCAATTGCTTTTTCACAATCCTTTATTGCATCTGTGTAGTGACCTAATTTACTCTGAGCAGCAGCCCTAAGAGAAAGAGAAGAGATTTTAATTAGCATATTTTCTTCTTCCCAATTTACAAATCACTCCCATTAAATCTTTAAATTTAGCTAAGAAAAATCTAGAAACCAACCAAAAATTACCTCAGAAACTTCTGTTTAGAGCACACTGAAAGGTTAACATGAGAGAGAGTAGGTTCTGCTTTAAAATCCCAAACACAGAGATGATGATAAACAGAGACTGTACTGGAGCTTCTCTGCATTCTGAGCTTGTGACAAGTCCAAACGCCATCATAAAAATGTGGGTTTTTCTCTGATGTTTACATGCTGACCTTTCTTTTCTGTTGTGTGTCACTGAATAGGAATCAACTCATTGCTGAACCTCCAGCAGCTTTTCAGAGGCTGTTAATCCCAAGGAAGGAGAATGCCCATCCTTCTCCTATGGGGCAGCTGGTAAATTTTACTATGTGCCTTTGGGATTGTAATGCAGCAGTTTCTTACCTCTTATCAAGAGGTCAGCCACAAATTATCGCAAGGCCCAGGAATACACCTTACATTAGTAACTTTGAATTCAGTGAACATAGACGGCCACAGTTATATGCAAGGACGGTTCAACTTAAGAAAAACAATCAACGTAATTCATCACATTGTTGTTGTTGTTGTTATGTGCCTTTGAGTCACCCTCGACTGATAGCAACCCTATGTACAACTACCCTAAAACCTGCTTTATGCTGTGCCAATCTCACTAGGAGTCAGTTGACTCATGACACTTTGTAACAATAACCCCATTCCTACCCATCCCTAGACAGTGGCAATGAGACTTGTAATACAGGTTTGGTTTCTGAGCTATGTTAAGGGTTACATATTGAAAAAGTCAATTTAAATTCAAAGGTAAGTAACCTTTAAGGTTCTTTGTTTATATAGGTTATCAATGTTTCTAATCAATTTGTTGTTGGTTTACAGTTTACCTGACCGACTTTTTCCATGCCTTTAACTTCCAATTTATGTTTGATTATGTATCTAGTTTGAGAATCTCAGTGCATGTCATTTTGTGACCACGAATCTATTTGAACTGCTTTCTATTCTTTCTTAAATGATTCTTTTTCTTGGCTTTCCACCATTGTCCACATCCTCCTTTCTACCTCTGTCTGATCAACTGAATTTCCTTTGCTTCGTCTTTTTTTAAAACTTTATTTTATTCATTTTAATGAACATTTACAGAGATCTTGGATTTTCACTTATTCACTGTTGCATGCTTCCTCTTTCTGTGTCTATTTATTTAAAAGCTGTATCATCTATATCTCCTCTTTTAAAAGGCATCTTTACCATGCTGTCAGTTTGTCTTAGAGGTAAGTATTGAAGGCAAGTGTCTCAGCAGAGCACCTTGCTCTGTAGTTGTGAGAAATCTAAGTGATCACAGTAAGTAGTGACTGCATGCTGGTCCTCATGCTTGATTCAACAGAGTTGACTTGTTATTCATGAAACTACGGCTCCTTGGCTATTGCCTCCTCACATAGTCTTTCTTCTGGGAGCTCTGGGAGCTTGTCTTCTGTATTTCTTCTCTGAGTTAATTCTCAATAGTTGGAAACTTTATTATACCAGTTTATTTACAAAGTTCAAATAAACTGTTCTCCAGAACAGATACTTCCAATTTCCTTCACCCTGCCACCCATCAAATTGTACAACTCCATGATGGAGGACAGGTCTCATTTTCAGAATTTTAGTCTTTTTCTTAGGCATCTTTTTTTTTTCAAAGTTGTCTTTTTCAGTCTTTTGTTGGGGGAAAAATATCCTTGTTATTATAACTAAATAAGTATTTTTTTACTTTATTACATTTTAATTAATTTACATTTAAATAGTCACTTGTGACTGGGAACTACCAAATAACATCACACTATTCTATAGATCAAGGAGATCTTGTTGTCTAGTGGATAGAGAGTTGCACTGTCAACTTGAAGGATAGCAGTTCTAATTCACCAATAGTTTTGAAGGAGAAAAACGGGTATCTGTAAATCACCTGTGTGATTTACAATCTGTGAAAACCCACTAGAGGGTCAGATTTGGTTCTGACATAATGGCATCTAATAACAGTAACAAGAGCAATCAACCAATTGGATGAGAAATATTCTAAGCAGGAGGGACAGCACATAAAAATAATTGAGAGATGACCCAATGGTATATTCTAAAACTTAGTATGTTTCATATTGCAGGTGCATTGAGGATACAGTGAAGGAGAATAAGGAAGAAAGACAAGTGGATATAATAAAGCTAAGGAAAAGGAAAAAGGTTATATTATAGAAGAGAAATCATGATAATGAGCTTAAATTTGACTAAATGAAAAAAAAAATTTGACTAAATGGTTACTTGCAACTAGCAAAAGCCACATGAGCAATTACATAATTCAGAAAGATCCTTCTGGCAGACTGGAATGGGGATTGCAAGAGGAAATGAGAGGTCAATTTAAGTTACTATTGTATTGATGTTGTTGTTGTTGTTATGTATGATTGAGGTGGAATCAACTCATAGCTGACTCTCCAGAGGGTTTTCACAGGCAATAAATTGCTTAGGAGGAGACTGTCCATCTTCCTCCTGCTATTATTATACTAATTTACTAAAACATAAGAACCTAAACTAAGGGAGTAATAGTAGAAATGGAGGCAGGAACAAACTACCTACATGGGAGGCACCTGGGGGAAAGGACACAGAGGAGGAATCCCTCATCTACGATAATAAGGCAGAGAAGGAGAAAGAATCAAACCCAGAGTGAAAAGAGACAAGAAAAGAGAAGACAACTATTATATTTTAATCCTGACAGTTTTTTATCACAAATTTCAAGCAAGAGTGAAGGTGAATTTATGCAGTTCATGAAAGAAAAGAAGAGGCATCTAAGTCTCTGAAGCCAGGAACGGGAAGTAAAACCAAGCTTTATTTGAATCTCCTGTGAAAGCAGCGAAGCATGCCAGTGTCTGAACTGAATAACAATGTGCTCGCTCGCTCACTCGCTCTACCCCTGCAGTCTGGTTATCAGAGCATAACTAATGAAATTTCAGTCCAATAATACAGTCAGAGTCACCATGTTTTGAAACACTCTCCATCTCTTTAACTTATTAGCGAAAAATCATGAAAAGAATTGTGTAGAAAATGAAGCAGATAAAAACCACGTATCTCACATTTCCTACAGTGAATGCTATGCACAAATAAGAGCAAACACCTGCCTTTCAACTAAAAAGTCATTGTTTTTTAAAAAATATACAAACATATTGCAAGCACAATGGTATGGACTTTGTGCATTTTATCACTCATCAAACCATCCTTTTAAATAGTTCATATTGTCTCTTTTTACAGGTGAAGAATTGAAGACTTATGAAGGCTAGAGAATTGGCCTTAGTTAACAGGTGGCAACACCAAGATTCAATTTAAAGTACAAAAACCACCTTCAACTCTCAAAGAATTAAGTGACAATGTTTTATACAGAGATGCAAAAGACAAAAACAATCACATCTCTACTGTCCTCTCAGAACTTTATTATTCCTCATTAAAATTGCCTGATGCCTCCTGATTTTATTTGTAAAACTATGCCTACCAACTTAAAATACTTCTTTGACTATTCAAGTTTAAAACGTTCAAGTTTAACTCCAACTGAAAGTCCCCACCACCTGTGAAACTTACTCTCCATTATACTCTTTCCGATTTATCTTTCATTCCATTTTTTATCTTAGACATGCAACCATCCATCTACCCTAGAAACAGATAAAGCACATTCATCACTGAGGTTGCACAAAAGAAATAATGCACTAAATTTTAAACCAAAGCCTCAGAAAAGAAACTAGTCTAATTGGCAATACAAGCCATCTCCTCATCTACCCTGAGACTGGAAGAGCCAGGTGGTGCCCATCTACCACTACTGACCATTCTGAGAAGAGTCAGCAAATGAATCCTGAAAGAATGGGAGGAAAAACTCTTAACAAAACTGAAATCCTTAAATGGTTGAGGCTTAAAACTACTGGAGACTAGAAGCCTCCCTGAGATTATTCCTTAAGATATTTTTTTAACCTTGAATCAAAACTATCTTAAGTTCACCTTTAACAAAATAATACAATTCAACCTACAACCAGGAGAGGATAAACAGATGAACAGGACCTTCTAAGAATCAAATCCCTATGCACATACAAAAATTTCTCCAACAGGATAAAAAGGGAAGCACAGACTGAGAAAATATTTAGTAATGACATGTCTGATAAGGGACTTATATCTAAAATTTATAGAATACACAAGCACCAACAACAAAATAAAGGTAAAGAACCCAATTGAAAAATGGGCACAGGGTATGAACAGACACTTGACCAAAGAAGAAATTCAGATGGCAAACAAGCACATGAAGAAATGTTCAAAATCCCTGGCTCTAAGAGAGATGCAAATCAAGACAACTGTGAGATATCATCTCACACCAGTAAGAATAGCAAAATTCAACAGAGCAGCAAACAAGTGCTGGGAAGGGTGTGGAGAAACTGGAACTCTTACTCAGTGTTGGTGGGAAAGTAAAATCGTGTAACCACTATGGAAGGCA